TCCTGACAATTGAGACCACATGAGAAAAACTACCCAACACATGACTTGGAATTGGCCGTAGTTGTGTTTGCTTTGAAAATTTGACGACATTACTTGTATGGGGAAAAATGTGAAGTTTACACGGATCACAAAAGTTTGAAGTATTTCTTTACTCAAAAGGAGTTGAACATGCACTAGAGAAGATGGCTTGAGCTAATAAAAGATTATGACCTTCAGATTCAGTATCACCAGGGAAAGCCAATACAGTTACTGATGCCTTGAGTAAAAAATCGACGGGGGCTTTAGCTTGCCTACTCACTAAACAGAAAGAAATCTTGCAAGATTTTGAGAAATTTGAGATTGAAGTAGTATTACATGGGCAAAGCAGATTGATAGCTGTCATTTCAGCTGAACCGACAATCATCGATCAGATCAAGTAGAAACAAAAGGAGGATGAATTCCTAAAAAAGATAGTTGATGAATTTAAGGCAAATCCGAAACCGGGATATAGTGTTGTAAATGAACTGTTGAAATTCCAAGACAGATTGTGTGTTCTGAATATTCCCGAGTTAAAGAGGAGAATTCTCAATGAAGCCCATAAATTAGTGTTTACTTTGCATTTGGGTAACAGTAAGATGTACCAGGACTTAAAGCAGAGTTATTGGTGGCCAAATATGAGGCGGGAGATTGCAGAATATGTATCTAGATGTCTTCAGTGTCAGCAAGTTAAGGCTGAACACCAGAAATCAACAGGTCTACTTCAACCTGTCCCTATTCTAGAATGAAAATGAGAGCACATAACCATAGACTATGTTGTCGGCCTACCTCAAACTCCTAGAGGTATGGATTCTGTTTGGGTTATAGTTTATAGACTAACTAAATCTGGACACTTGTTACCTGTGAAAACTACGTATGATGCTTAAGTTTCGGTATCTATCATGTCGAATAGAGATCCGAAATTTGTATCTCGATTTTGGAAAAGTCTTCAAGCGATAATGGGGACAGAGTTGAGGTTTAGTACAACATTCTATCCACAAATTGATGGACAATCAGAATAGACTATACAAACTCTAGAAGATATGCTCAAATGTGTGCTTTGGATTTTCAAGGGAGTTGGGAGACTTACTTACTATTGGCCGAATTTGCATATAATAACAGTTTCCACTCCAGTATTGGTATGTCACCATATGAAGCTTTGTACGGCCAAAAATGTAGATCTCTGATATGCTAGACTGAGGTTAGGGATAGGGTCTTGCTTTGACTTGAGCTTGTGCAGACAACTACCGATAAAATCAAAGTTATTCAACAAAGGCTTAAGACAGCTCAGAGCCAACAAAAGAGTTATGTGGATGTTAGAAGAAGACCCCTTGAGTATGAGGTTGGTGATCATGTGTTCATCCGTGTGAATCCGATGAAAGGCTAATTAAGATTCCGTAAAAAGGGTAAACTATCACCTCGTTACAATGGGCCGTTTCAAATTCTAGAAAGGCTTGGTTCGGTTACTTATAGAGTTGCCTTACCACCAAGAATGGAATGAATGCACAATGTATTTCACGTATCAATGTTGAGGGGCTATCTCCGAGATCCGTTCCACGTGATTGACTATCACCGAATAGCACTTGATGAAAATATGGAGTACAGGGAATGGCTAGAACGGATCATTGACCGTCAAGTAAAGAAACTGAGAAACAAATCTATTCCGATGGTGAAAGTGGAATGGAAAGAATAATATGGTAAGGATTCCACATAGGAGAAAGAAGAAGAAATACGACAACACTATCCATATTTGTTTCCAATGGAAGGTAACATTAGTTTGGGGGACCAAACTTCCTAAAGGGGGAAGAATGTGACAACCTTATTTTGTATTATGCTAGATAATCTTAGTTATGCTTATAATTATATGATTGATATGATTTTGAGTGCCAATTATACGATTATATGTGTTTTTGAACTTCTATCTATTCACCGTAGGAAAATCTGTTTGATTTTCTATTATAAAATGTAATCGAGGGTCGTGGAGGCATCTAAAGCCAAAATTGATTATGCCATTGCGATTAGCATAATTTTTAGAGCCTATGGTGAAATTTAATTAAACATTGATTCGGATCAAATTAATTAGATTAAATTTGATTAAATTAATCACAATGAATTAGTTCTAATTTATTTTGATTAGGGTAGCTTATATATATGAACTAAATGTGCTTAAGCTCATTTCTTGAGCTAACAATTTGAAAGTATATACTCTAGAGAGAGAGTGAGCTGATTCTAGAGAGAGGAAGAGGGCATCCTTGTAGATTTTTGCAAGCGGATTCAAGTATTGGGGGAATTCACTCAAGAACTAGCTAGAATTTGGATAATTGAAGCTTCTAGGTGAGTAATTGAACTCAAATTCATGGGTTTAAATTATAACTAAGTGAATTCAAAGATGATATGAAGTTAAGAACAAGATTTGAGTTAAAAACGATGAAAATGAGACCAATATGTACTTGTATGTAACAAATTGCTATGAATCTTCATGTTTGTGTATGAAGTATGTTAAACAAGTTGAATTGATAATCATTTGAGGCATGCATCCATGAATAATGAGCTTGTGAGGCTTATTTACATGTCTTGAAGATGATAGAACAAGAATTCATGTAAGATCATACATGCATGAGAGTTTTGAATATCATTTTGACAAATTCATGAAGAATATAGTACCAAATGCATAATTTTGAGAAATCTCATGAGTTTGAGCATTGTTAGTATCACTTGAAGTGAGGAAAGAAGCTATATTCCACATGCAAGCTCAATCCATGTAGATATAGAACTTAAATGCATGAGTCTTAAAGTTATGAGCTTGAAATTGAAATGAATTGATTTTGTATGAAGACTTCTTGAAGAATTAAACTTCAATTCTTGTAAAATTAACTTTTATTTTCATGTTAGAAGTTATTTGGCCAAGATATAGGCCTTAACATGCAATAAAATCAAGTTGAAACCATGTTTTGAAGCTCAAACACAGTTCCAAAAATTCCAGAATTCGTCCTTCTTGCTTGAGCGGAGAAAGACTCGCTCGAGCGTAAAAATTCAGCTCCCAGAAATTTTGCAGAGGATTGCATGGTAGCTCGTACGGACCATGTTTTGCAAGACTCATCGCTCGAGAAAAGAATGTCTCGTTCGAGCGTAAAATTCATGCAACTACTATTTTTACAGAGTTTTATAGACTGCTCGAGCGACCAAAGTTGCGCCCGAGTGAGGTGCCTTGTTTTAGAAAGTTTTGAAAAGTTGTATTATGTTCCAATTTTCGTTCTCTTCTATTTCTGAGTATTCTTAGGCACACATTGAGCATCGTAAATGAATTAAAGGACACGAAAGAAGCCTAAGAGTGTTAGGAAAACTAAAGAACGGATTGAATTGTATTATGGCCCAATGTGTTATGAATTATGTAGGGTCAAGTGCAAGGATGAATCAAGCACCGGAACACTGTGAGTAATATCTTAGTAAAAATATTTTCATGCATATTATTTTCCAAATGCTACTCATGTGTAAGTTTTCTGGACTTGTGAATTCGAATTATGAATGAGTATTATATTCATCTGATTGTGCAAGAATCTGTAATGAAATTGATAAGAATGAAATCATCTGAATGGATCAAAGGTCATTCTGAATCAATATGAAATGGGCCTAAAGGCCGTTCTATATATTTGATTACATGGACCAAAGGTCGTTCTGTATGTATATGATATGGGCCCAAGGCCACTTGATATGTGTGTCAAGGACACGAAATGGGCCTAAGGCCGTCCGAATACGAATGTGATCATGACCACGAATATGAATATACACATAGATATGAATATGGAAATGGTGGACCTGAGGTCGTTCTGTAAGGTGATTGGGGCTCGAGGCCGTTCTGTGTCATGGTTGGGCCCGAGGCCGTTCTGTAATATCATCGGACAAGTATTATGGACCGGAGGTCGTTTCGCATGTATTGGACCGAAGGTCATTTTGCTTATGAATTAGACCCAAGGTCGTTATGTAAATACGAGTTGGACCCGAGGTCGTATAGTATATGAATATGGATATGTTATATGATATGTTGGACCTAAGGTCGTTTTGCGTTGATAAAATGAACCTCATTCAGGAACTCATTTACTTTGGTATTATTCGCTGGGTGTTAGCTCACTCTTTATTTTATATATATGTAGGTGAGCAGAGGGAACTCCAGCCCCAGCCCCCACCCCAATGAGCAATGAGAAACCGAATTTTGAACCAAGGTCGTCTCACACAAGAGGCCTTACTTTTGTTTTTCCTTTCCCTTTGTTCCTTTGTGGTTACGTATGGCCAAATTTGTGTACAACCTTAGTTTTTGTTAATACTGACTTTGAATGATCCTGGACTTATATAATTCAGAATATGGATGTTTGTATAGTATGAGTTATTACATATATGAGAAAGTTTTTGGTTAAGCCATGTATGCACAGCTCATTGGACATTCTTTGTAAGTTTTGCTTCTGTAATTTGGCCCCCTATCATTAAAAATGGCAAGATTTCAGATTGAGACCACAAGCAATCTCTTGATTACTGGCCGGTTATGACTATAATCCATAGGGGTGGGTTTGGGTCATGATAGCTTTGGCTCACCCTACTGGGAAAAACCATTTTTAGGTACTGATGATATGCCTCTGCCAAGGACTTATCTTGGGAGGACTGTAGAGATGAAAGCTCAATTTCTGTTTATTTTGTATTACTTTCCTTTCAAGCCTCAGGTTTTATTTGTATTGAGCTTATGACTCATTTTGTTATAACCAAGCACGGTCTTGGAAAGATGTAAGCCATTAGGGAAAATGAATATCTGTTTAGCTTTCAGTTCCTATTATCTCTTGTAACACATGCTGTAAATTCAGGATGAACGATGTATAAATGTATATCGCATGTGTCACCTTTTGTATATTAACTCTTATTAATGAAAGCTTCTTATTTTATTTGTATCACATTATACTAGTGTTTGGAGTTGGTTTCTTATAATTAATTTGGGGACATTACAAAACCAGTCCCTGTAAAACATAAATGTCAAAACCATGACTAATGAAAAACATTAAGGCACATAACAGAGTAATGAAAAAACCATTAAACACAAATATACCTTTTGTTGATCAGTGATGAAGGTCCATCCATGCTCTGCACTTGTGCCAATACATTTAAACAAATTTTGTACAAACCAAGTCCAACTTTCTTTATTCTCACTCTTAGCCACTGAATAAGCAATTGGGAACATCATATTGTTTCCATCCCATCCCACTGCAGCAACCAATTGCCCTTGACAAGGTCCTTTAAAATGACAAGCATCCAAGCCAATCAATGGCCTCATACTAGCTAAAAACCCTCTCCTGATTCCATTAAGGCACATAAAAATTCTCTGGAACCTAGGCTTAATTTCAAGTTGAGGCCTCCATACATTGATGTCCACTCCTGAACTTGGATTGGTCCTTATCAACTCAGCAACATAATCCCATAGTTTTGTATATTGTTCAGCATTTGTTCCCTCAAGTTGCACCAATGCTTGTTTCCTAGCTCTATAAGATTTCATTTTGGATACTTCTACAACACAGTCATCTTTCACAGTGTCCTTGAACTCATTTATTTTCCAGGTAGGGGTGGTCCTGAATTTGTTCACATATTTAGATGCCAAAAATGCGCTAGTTACTTGTTTGTTCTTGTAAGTTCTGTTGCAAGTGTGTGTAGGTTTGTATGTCTTAATCTGCAATGTGTTCTCTCCACTCATCTTAGATGCATAAAACTTCCACTCACACTCATCACTACAGTTTACTTGAACCTTCCATGTCTCACTTTTTGTGAATTTGACATCATAACCCCCTTTAACTGCATATTCCCTTACAACATCTTTAAATTCAATGGCATTATTAAACAACATTCCAATTTTAAATTCAATATTAGCCATATCAACCTCAGGCTTAAATTCGGGGTACTTTGGCTTCCCATTACCCTTCTCATCAGATCCTTCAAGGGTATTAATTCCTCCTCAGATGAATCCCCGTCATTGACAACACATTCCTTAAATGCATTGCCTCCTTCTCCATTTGGTTCCTTCTCTACATTACTGTCAAACATTATATCATCCTCAGTAAGGTCATCCTCATCCTCACTACTATTTAAGAAATCACTATTTGATGAGTCATCATTTTCCTCATCTTCACTATTTGCTTCATCTTCATAGTCATGATAATGAGGATGTTGAGCATTTTCATCCTCATTTACAGGGGCATCGCTAAGGAACAAAACAGGGTGAGGAGTGTCTACATTGTGTGGCACACGATGCTCAACAAATAATTCTAAGGTGTTTGTAGATCCCACATATTGAAACATTTCTAAAACATCTTGGTCAGTATCCAATCTTCTTAACCCTTTAACCAAATCTTCTATGGGAATCCTATAAAAAATAAAAAAATAAAAATTGTTTGTAATCAAATATCCCCAACTTCTTCACCATAAATATCAGCTCAGGAATAAAAGGTATCAACATCAATAGTATCAAACACATGTACTTTACCTCCAAAGTAACTCCTAGGCCCACCATCACTATCAATAAAGTACCCACTATGATGTAAAACTAATTTCGTATTTATATCATTCATTGCTGCATTCACAAATAAACAAATATATCATAAATAATACATGGGACAACATATAGCAAAAGGACCACTTTCAAGACAAAAATGCATAAAAAATCAGTGGACTGAACAGGTGGCATAGTACCAACAATTTTTTCAGCCAACCACTTAGTCAATGCAATGGTCTATTAATGGAGATAACAAATTTCATATACAAAAAGACAATAAAGTAACCAACACACACATATACCCATGCAATAAAGTAAGATACAAACATAAAGTTTGCCATTACTTTATTCCAAAAAAAAAAAAAAAAAAAAAAAAACTCGTATAGATCACTTACCAACACTCCAAATAACTGTAAGCACCAATATTGCAAACCCTAGTCCAGATTTTCTTCGAAATTGCAACAACCCCTTTGCCCTAATCGACGAAATCAAAGAAAGTAGGGCAAATTGTAGCCCTAATCAATGAAATCCAAGATTTGGGGCCTTTTAGGTTGGTTTTGGTGCAAAAAATGACTTTCTCTGTTACTTCATAAAATGGAGATGGACGAGGGACTTACATTGTGACACAGAAAAAACTCCAGGGTTTTAATTGTCAAAATTAAAAACCTGAGGTTTAAATTGCAAAACATGTGAAACTTTGGGATTTTTTTTGTAACTTTTCCTTTATTTTAAATTAAAAATTAATAACTAAAAAAATATTCCTCTCCCAACTTTATAATCATAGCCCGTGCTGAACATACAAAATAAAAAAAGAATAAAAGAAAAAATTGAAAGCAACTATTCTCTTTGTTTCTCTTTTGTACCCTCTCCGGATTTAAGCTCAAAGCAACACCAAAAAATAAGCCAATCGTAATGGTAGGCCATTGTATTGCAGGATAACCCAAACCAAATCCCCAGCAGTGTTGTTGTTATCTTATCCACGCTTTCTTCTAAGAAAGACCATATGGCGCCCTAGAAAACCTAATTCGTGCGGCCATGAAGCTTATTTCAGGATTCATTTTGATAATTTAAATCATTCACTTTTTAATATATAATGAGAAAAAAATAATTTTAAAAAATTAAGTTGATCAGATATCGAAAGTCTTTTCATCGAATTGTATTTGTATTAAGTTTTATACTTCAAATTATATTTATTATTAGTTTTTAAAATACAAATGCAATATTGATATTCAATCAATTTAATTTTTTACAAGCGTGTTTAACTCAATATGCTTTAACAATAAACGATTCGAATTATCAAAATAAGCTCCAAAACAAGGCTCAAAATGAGTCTTGTGAGCCACACAATAGTGACTAATGTGCCTTCCATACAACAACCACTCCAAGACACAACACCCATCCCAATTTCATAATCTGCCTTACCACATCTTGTTTATCAAATTTTTCTTAGATTTATTGATACGAGTGTTGGTCTTGGGATTTATTCAAATATCAGTTTTTAGTTTTTGATTTTTTAAAATAATTTTTAAATTTTACACTAGTTTTTTTTTTTTTGGGAGTAAATTACGCTCATTTTTTTTAAATTTAAAAAAAGTACAATTAGTTCTATACTTTTGACATAATTATATTAATCTTTCTTATTTTTTTTTTCATATAACACCTAGGACTTTTATTATCTGTAATTTCTGAATCGTATAAATGAAAAAATAACATTACCATAGTAATGATTAAATAACAACTATTGTTCTCCTAATTTTAAAATGCCATATTTTCTTTACATACATATGCATATAAAAAAAATTGAAATCCAAAACCCTAGGGCGTGTGACCATATTGTATTGTTGTCCTTATGACGGTTATAGCTAGGGATGTAAATTTGGCTAGGCTTGGCCCAACCCTTGTTGGGTCGCTTGGACTTCCGCCAAAATTCGGGCCAGGTCGAGTTAGCCTATGGGCTAGAAAATTAGGCCTAGGTCCAGGGGGTATTTGGGGCTTAGGTGGGCCGATGGGCCTAAGCTTGGGCTTGGGCTTGGGCTTGGGCTTCGGCTTCGGCCGAGCTTAAACATTTTTTTTTTCTATTTTTTCAATCAAAATTTTATTATTTTTTTCCCACTAAAAATGACACTGGGCCATAGGCAGAATGTCCTTTGAGTGGGCCTTGAGCGAGCCGATGGGCTGGGCTTCAAAATGATGCCTAGGCCTAGGGTTTTGGGCTGGGCTCGAGCTTAGGCCTAATTGAGCCGGGCCCACCCCAGGCCGCTAGGAATGGCAACGGGTCGAGCCGGGCCAGGGCTGGGGATTACACTCCTTGTCCCCAATCCGCAAATGTAAAAAACTCCTTGTATTTCCTCGACCCCGAAAAATCCTCGATCCTTTATTTATTTATTTATTTAGTTTGAGGTAGAGGGAAGAACAAGAATAAAAAAAAAGAGGGCGAATTACACTAACAGTCCCTATAGTTTGGGACTCATGTCACTTTGGTCCTTGACTTTTTAACTGTGACACATTTTACCATGAATTTTGAATCTTGTTTCAAATAAGAAAAATTGAAGATACCATTGCTTAATTTCAAGTGCAAAATCGTCAATTTGATAAATATAAATTAATTTGACAAAAATAAATGTTAAAAAAATATTTTTAAAATTTTAAAATTATTTCTACTGACCAAAGATAAAATTATATAAACTTGATAAATCTTTTAAACATTTATTTATTTATTTATCTTACCAAATTAATTTTTATTATATGTTTGGATGATGATCATTTAATGGGAAATCGATTTATTTAATATATGAAATGTTTTTAGTTTTGAATTTTTCGATTTAATGGATTGGTTTAATAATGATATCAAAGTTGCTATCGTGTTTGACTTTTGGAAAAATAAAAACTAATTTAATGAAAACAAAAACAACCATCATTACATGATTATCATCCAAACATATAATAAAAATTAATTTAGTAAAAATATATAAATAAATGTCTAAAAGATTTATCAATTTGACATAATTTTATCTTCAGTGGGTAGAAATAATTTTTAAAAATTTAAAAATATTTTTGTGAAATTTATTTTTGTTAAATTAGTTTATATTTTATCAAATTGACATTTTTGCCCTTGAAAAATCCAATGGTATCATCGATTGTTCTTATTTGGAACAAGATTCAAAATTTAAGGTCAAATGTGTCACAATTGAAAAGTCAGGAACCAAAATGACACAAGCTCCAAACTGTAGAGACCGTTAGTGTAATTCACCCAAAAAAAGATACATACATATATACACAGATACACAATCCAACAACAACAACAACAACAACAGTATGTATATACTACTACTATATATAAATGTTTGTAAAATGTACAAAACACAAATCTGTAAAACACAAATGTACAAAAATTGATCTCACTCCATAGATCTATACAAATCCTCATATTTGAACTCAATATCCTTAGATCTGTTAAAAAAAATATAGATCTGATTAGAGAAAGAACCAGAGATGAACCAAACGGGTGGACAGAGATGAACCAATCCAGACGGTGGTGGAGATGAACCAGACAGCGGCAATGAAGAGATCGACAAAGGCGAGTTTGGTGTCGGTGGAGTCTTCTTCATGGCATTCAATCACTCTGAGATCGGCAGTGATGGGAAGAAGGAGAGGACAACGGAGGATAGCGAAGAGAGATCGGCAGTGAGGATGGGTTTTAGAGAGAGAGAGAGAGAGAGAGAGAGAGACTGTGTGGGTGTGTGTGCATGTGTGAGGTCTCACTTAGAACCTAAACATAATAACCCTAAACATATATATATATATATATATATACACGGGACTGCTCGGGAGAAGATCAGGTCGGGGTCGGGGGCTAGGGCCGGGGGCACATATCACCGTTCCCTGCCCGAAAACCATTGGGGATTTATTTTTTAATACCAGCCCTAGCCTAATAGGGAATAATTTTCGAGGAAAACCCGACTTATCGAGACGAGTCCTCATCGAGGCGGGTTCAAATTGCCATCCCTAAAGGCCGCAGACTATTTTTACACCCCTAGTTATATGTAAAAGAGAAAAGATGATATTAATATCTAACTTTTACAGCATGAGTAGCTTATTTATAGGCGGATGGTAGAGTGCTCATGGATAACTTAACCCTCATTTGGCAAGTGGTTAGTAGTTTTTTTAGTTACAAAAAGATAAAATAGATTTAAAAAAGTCAATAAGACAAAATGTCACATCTAAATCATAACTATTTTATTTTTTCTCTCACAAAAATAAAAAAAATACCAATCCAAACGAACTTTTTAGCTTCAGATTAAAATAGCCAAAATGTCAAAAAGTTAAAAAGCCAATCAACTTCTCAAATGAAGCCTAAAGTGCTAATCGCATAAACTGAAATACATAAATATGAAATATAATATTCTAGATATATTCTCTAAATTGCTTAGTAATTTTTTTTTTAATCTACATCTGCAAGTTAATCCACTAAAAAATGAAGAATTAGTAGTTTTCTAGTGAGAAGTGAATAGCTTCAGTACGATGAGCACAACATTTGAAGCAACTAATTCATAATATCAAATGGCATCAAAGAAATCTGGTGTCATGATCACTAGGACAATTATCACTAATTCACTTGGAGTCACGATCACTACGACAAAGAAATTTGGCCTTAGGCCTTGTTTGGTGAAGATTTGTTAGTTATTTATTTATTTATTTATTTTGAGCTAAAATTCATAAAAAGACAAAATGAGTTAAAATAACGAGTAAGAAAAAATGCACATCAAACTCATAATCATTTCACTTTTTCTCTCGCAAACATTACGTCTAATTTTAGAATTTTAAGAGATGTTCTTACATTCAAATCTCAACTAAATTTGTTGATAGTTTCCGTTGTTTTCTTCCCTTCTTCTGCAAGGGTTTACTAAGATTTTTTTTATTTATTAGGATAGTGAAAACTTTATTGATAAAATCTAATTGAATAAACAAGATACAACAATAAAGAGGGTTAGTGCAAAAAGAATTAAAGTAATAGTAAACGATCTCAATTAGATTGTCACCCAAAAAAAAAATATATTATTAAATCATTTGCTAGTGCT